GGGCCTACTATGCTCCAAACACCATATGAAACACTTTGCAGAGAATCAGGGTATCAGACCCCAAAGCTTGTGTTTTAATCACTAGGCTACACTGCCCTCCCATCTTCCCCACTGAAGGCAGAGACTGTGGTGTACTCACTTTTATCTCTGTAATGCCCAACAGTGCCTGCTGTACAACAATGCTTATAAAATGAATGAATAATAGTATGGTACACATTTCTAAAGATTCCTATCCATTGGTCACTCAAACGCTAACCTAGGTGCTGCTGTGAAGAGATTTTACAGATGTAATTTGAAGTTCCAAATCAGTTGATTATAAGGTACAGAGATTTTTCCAGGTGGGCCTGACCCAAACAGATGAGCCCTTTAGAAACAAAGGAGGGCACGTCATGCGATGAGCACTGGGTGTTATATGCAACTGATGAATTGTTGAACACTACGTCTGAAACTCATGATGTACTATGTGTTGGCTAATTGAACATAATTAAAAAATTTAATAAAAAAATAAAAATATTAAAAAAAAGGGAAACAGAGTTTTCTCCAGCTAGTGGAAGTCAGAGAGGTTCAAAGAAAGAGGAATTGCCACACTATTACTGGCTTGAAGATGAAGGAGACATGTGATGCCAAAAGCAGGCAACCTCTAGAAGCTGAAAGGAACCCCGAGGCTGACAGCCACCAAGGAAACAATGATCACAGGGAGGTAAATACTGCAAACAACCAGTAAGCTTGAACAACCCGAGCTCCATATGAGAACCAGAGCCCCAGCCAACACCTTGATTTCAGCCTGGTTGAGAGCCTCAGCAGAGACTCTAGACACCCTGATCCAGACTTCTGATCTACAGAACTATGAGACAATGAATGAGTGCTGTTAGAAGCCACTAAGTTTGTGGTGATTTGTTCTGCAGTGAGAGAAAACAAATACAAAGGAGGTTTCCAATTCTATGGAGACGCTGGTGGTCAGACTGCTTTCTGTAGCTCCCAAATGTTCCACTGAGCTTTACAAGAAATGAGTGGTGGTTGTGATCCAACACCAGGGAGATATGCGTGGAGGAAGTCCATGCCCATCTAGAAATCAATCAGAATCTGGCGAGGGAAGTAATGTTCTACAGTGGGTAGAGTGCTGGTTGAGAAATATGAAGTCCTGGTTCCTAGTCTCAGATTTGCCAATGCCTTACTCTGTGACCCTGGATAAATCACCTTATGTCTCATAACTGTAGATCTTTCATCTGTGAGATGGGGATAGTCATCCCTCTCCCATTCATTTTACAGGACAGTAAATATAAGATCAAGTAAGATAAAGAGTCCAACAAGCCATAGAATTTGTGACCAATTTTAGGGGAATATAGAGATTCCTCAATTGCTTAGGTACTTTGGGGAAGAGTTGTGCCAAGTTACAAGACTAATAAAATTCAGGTGACTAGGCATACCTCCAAGGGCCAGATCACAGCTATTCCTTCCCTACTAAGGGATTTATCCTGTAGCTCCCAACCAGAATAATCCTCACAAAAATATACGCCTCATGTTTCAACAGCACTTTTTAAAATGATTTTGCCTCTACCATTTTAATTCCAATAGCTTTTATCAGTTAAAGGAAAAGAATCGACTAAGTCTAGGACTGAAAGTTTTGGTTTCTCACCATGACATATGGTTAATCTCACCCATTACACAGAGAAGAAGACTGAGGCCCAGCTGGGCAGGCAACTTGCCAAGGTTATGGGTGGGGCTGGTCAGTGAAAGAGCAAAGACACTCATTCCCAGTCATGGCCTCTATTAATTCCAGTTCCCTACTTTTTGTATGGAACTGGGAAAATACAGAGTTCATGGATAGAGGCCCAGCTTTGCCTGTACCAGGTCTGAAATGAAGAAGGGCGTAGCCTTACACTCAAGTTCCTATCATGTGGATCAAATGCAAATGAAGCATTGGAATCAGGTCACATTTTGAAGAGCCTCCCCTGACACTCTAGTTATTCCATGGATGACACTTGCTGGCTATTAAACAATAGACTCCTTCTTTGCTATCTTTATTAAGTAGGTGGGATGTGGGGAATAGTGTGCAGGATAAGCTGCTCTCAACACCTAGCAAATAAATATTAATTAAAGGAGAACAGGGAAGAAGGAGCCATTGGCTTGGAACTTTCTTGGGAGGGCTTTGAGTTTCACTAGATGATCCCCAACTTGGGATATCTTAGCTAGGTCTCTCAGTTCAGTCATGTTGGAAAAGGAGGTAGCCATCCTGAACACTTGGTTTGAGGCTATGACTCCAGGCATCCTGGGCTATAAGCAAGTTTGGATTTCTCCTGGCCCTGGAAAATATGCCCAATCTCTAGAATCCAATGTGAATAGAACTGACAGGTTATGAGAGAGGTGACATTCATGCACTCACTTGTTATTGAGGCCCACCCTGTGCTAGGTGCTATAAGGTTCTTTACTCTTGTGGAGCTTATGATCCAGGGGAACAACAGACTATCAACAATCACACAGAGATCAGATTTCAACTGCAATGTGAGCTGTATGGGGCTCTGCGACTCTTAAGTCTGAATGCTGTAAATGTACTGGGTAAGGTGAGGTCTGAAGGATGAATAGGGTTGATGCAATGATCAGGGGGAAGAGTGGCATGTGATAAGGGTGTGAGTCTTTTGAGTAGGAAGGACCAAACAAAGCCCAGTGTAACCAGAGTACAGAGAGCATGTTGTGGAGACACTGGAGAGCAAGGCAGGGACCAGACCACATAGGGCCTTGAGGGTCACCAATGAGTTTGAATTTTATTCCAAGTGTAAGAGAAGGGCTTTCATGGATTTTACACAAAGAAGCAACATGATACAATTAACGTTTTTATAAAGATCACTTAGGCTGATTAGGCAAAGGAATGGGAGGACAAGGGGCTGCTGCATGGAGGGAAGTCTAGTTTAGACGCTACTGTGGTCACTCAGACTTGGGAAAAGAGCAGCATCTTCAACACAGCCCTGGAACACTGCTATTTACCACCTCCTAAGGCAAAAGAGCACCGGATTAGTTACCAGAAGACTGGTGTGCTTTTGAGTACAGACATATACTAGTCTTGGGGCATGGGGAGAATAGTTTTGCCTTTATGGGTCTCATTTTGCTTGACTGCCCAATGGAAGCCATGCAGCCTGGTCTACCTATTTATGATTTCAAATCACAGAAACTCAGAGATGGGAGAGATGGGAGGAGTATGGAGAAGGCTGACCCCTTGTGATGTTTGATCTTTCCTCTAAGTAGACTTACATCCCTAGCACTTTGTACTTGGGGGGGACTAAGAGTGGGCACAAGATACAGCATCTCTGTAAATGGTCTACCACTTGAACATCTTCAGAAATGGGGAAACTCACTCTCACCCTCAGGATAGCCAACTCATTGTTGTACCACCCTACCCATCAAATACCCCCTTCTTTGTATTTAGTGTTTGTTTTCCTGAAACTTCTGCCAAATACTCCTAAATCAGGTTTCGTGGTACCAGCCTCATGTCAGTCCTTCAGGGAACACCTCTCTCTGAGTCTTTTCTTCTGGTCCCCTCCTCCTGCAGCTATTCTTCACATAACATAGCTTTGCTCCACTCTCCTGGTCTCATTCCTTTAAACAAATTTCCTTTTATTTCCCTTTTAATGTGAAGCATCTAAGAACATTATTTTCCATATAACAAGCAATAACAAATATTTGTTGAATGTTTTGAAGTGAGCATTGTCTGCCTAGAATGAAAAGGAGCCTCCAAGAAACGGAAACAAACTGAACACACAGGAACATGGGAATAACACAGAGAAGGTCAGCCAGAAGGCTGAGAGCAGTGTGGCTAATAAGCAAGCAAGCTAGCAGGCCTGGGTTCTGCTCCTGGATCAGTGTGATTTGAGACTCAAGTTTCTTTATCTGTAAAACGTATGGGTTGGATTGGTGATTTGTTTGGTTGTTAATATAAGGTTTTAGTTAAGCACTGTCACCTACTGAAGGCTCTGAGGTTGAGGCTGTCAAGGCACATAAAGTTACAGTAGCTCCAGGATGACACTTCCTTAACCAATTGAGCTGGATGGAAGGAGAAACAGAATGCAAATAACTTTATCACTATATGATTTGGTATAATTGACGCCATGTCTGTCGACCACATCAAATTACCCCATAAGACATCGACATCATTTTGAAATATCTTTGGGAAAATGTTCTAGAATTGGAAATCTCCTAGCCAAATGTGAAAGATCACAGTAGAACTCTTGACTAGTCCTATTTCTCTTCATTGTCGGGCATAAGAGAAAAATGGGACTCTAAGAAGAAGATCAAGGATTGATTTCTCACCTCATTTACCATTATCATAGTTGCCATTTTGATCCAGTACAAAATATTCTTTGTCTTTTATTTCAGCCCAACTCTTTCTCTGTGGTAGAGGGGAGCACTGTGCCTACCCTCAACAGTGACATTCCCCTGAAGTGGCTAGAGTACAAGTATTCTCATTCTGTCTCCAAACCATTCTCCCTTCCCTTCCTTCTAGTCCATCATTTTGGTGACCTTTGATGACCAAAAGAACAAGAATGAGAAGGCAGTCTGGAAACATTTCTGAACATGATCAAATGTGTACATCACGTGTGTAATACATTTGTACTCATATATGTGTGCACAAACATTTGGTGTGTATGTAACCGCATTTAAAAGGATGTTTGTACATGTGTATGATTTTGTGGACAAGTGTTGACATATCTGTCTTTGTTGGTATGTGTATTGATGTATATGTATGTGTGAAAGTGGTGTGAATATATGCCTGTGGGGTTTTATCACCCCTGAAGAATAGCAACCACATAGGTCTTTATCTGTGATAAGGAACAAAATGCCAAGAAGAATCTCTCTGACATGAATTCTCGCATCTAGCTGACAGAGGAGAAGGGTGCAATAGGGTTTGACAGCTCTGCTGACAGGGCTTAGGCTGGCCCTTGGCCCTACCCCATAGCCTTCTGCAGTTGATGTCTATTCTTCTGACACCTCTTCCCTTTGGCCTGCAGGTCCCTGTCTGGCCGCATCGTTGGTGGTGTCTGGTGGTTCTTCACCTTGATCATCATCTCCTCATATACAGCCAACCTGGCTGCCTTCCTGACCGTGGAGAGGATGGTGTCTCCCATCGAGAGTGCTGAGGACCTAGCAAAGCAGACGGAAATCGCTTATGGGACCCTGGAAGCAGGGTCCACTAAGGAGTTCTTCAGGGTAGGAACATCCCTTGTCCTAAGGCACCTTCACAAAAGGGAACCACTACTGTCATTAAAATATCCTCACTAAGGAGCATGTGATTGATTATAGGCAACCAGGGCAACTGCTTAACTCCATACAAGTCAGGGAAACCAAACCCAGAGAATTTCTCAGCTTTCTACAAATCCCAGAGAAATCTACATTTCTATATTTGTGATAACTTCAAAGCTCTTGCATTGAACCAGACTCCTTACATATGCCAGACTGTGCCAAGTTCTCTGAGGGCTGCAAAGGATATGACATGCAGTTCCTTCCCTGCTCCCACACATACTTGCAATCTAATGTAATTGATTAGGACCAGCTTAGGGACAAAGTCCAGACCTTTGCCCTTTATGTCCCCTCCTTAGGGACTTGATGAATAAGAAGATGGTATATGGGTGCAGGAGGGGAAGAATGAAGGGGAATAAGTCGGAGGGGGAGATGAACCATGAGAGACGATGGACTCTGAAAAACAAACTGAGGGTTCTAGAGGGGAGGGGGGTGGGGGGATGGGTTAGCTTGGTGATGGGTATTAAAGAGGGCACGTTCTGCGTGGAGCACTGGGTGTTATGCACAAACAATGAATCATGGAACACTACATCAAAAACTAATGATGTAATGTATGGTGATTAATATAACAATAAAAAAATTAAAAAAAAAAGAAGATGGTATATGGGAAACAATTACTAGAATAGGTGGTCTATTTAACAGTGCCAGGAGAGAGAAGATGTGAAGTGAGAGTGGAGGTGGTGGAGACATCATGTGACCAGAGACAACAAGTGAAGGCAGAAGAGCAGAGAGCTTAGGAGCCTAGGGTCAGCCAGACCTAGGACCAGAACCTGGCTCCATCCTTGTCCTCTGGCCCTTAGCCTCGTTGACATTATTTTCCTCATCTATAGAGTCTGGAGAATAATATCTACCTCAAGGAGTCATTATAAGATTAAAAGAGATGAGGCATCTAAGACACAAGGCTCTGTTTCCTGTTAGGGCTTTGGGGTATAGGCATTTGGGAGCCATTTTGATGGAGGGGTAGGGATCTGTAGCCACAAACATTGAAAACATTTCTAGGCATCATGAAACTAGGGCAGACCTGGTTGGCTCATTACATTCCAGGCAAAGGGGACAACTTGAACAAATGCCCCAAAGCAGAAAAACCTGTAGTTCCCTGGACTTTAGACATGTTCATCCTAAAAGTTGAACAAATAGCACATGGAGTTACCATGTTTTGATGAAATAAAAAAATGATAAACAATTGCTACCACTTACTTAGCACTTACTATGAATCAAGCCCTGTGCTAGCACACCCTGCATGAATTATCTCATTTAATCCTCTCATTAGAGAGGAGTTAGAAATTTGTTGTCCCCGTTTCATATATGAAGCTCAGAGAAGTAAAAGTAATTGCCTGAGGTCACACAGCTAATAAGTAGCAGGAGGGGAATAGACAGCAAGCTTCTACCTTGCTTCAGGCAAGGATAGGGATCCTGTGCAGACCTACCAGGTTCTCACTGCAACTTCATGGAGCAAACCTCTGACCCAAGGCAAACCCACAGAGTGATGTGCTCAGTTTCCTGATCATGGGCTCGGTGTTCTATATGACAAGCAGGAAGGGGTCCAAAGTCTTAACAATCACTGATCCAGTCTCCAAACCTAAAATCATCCACTTTCAATATATTGGAGCAAGAAGGTAACTTGGAGGTCACATGGTCAGAGTCTGTCATTTTAGAGAGCGACATGACTTGCTTAAAGCTTACCCAACCAGCTAGTAGAAAAACCTCCTGTAATCTCATCATAATTCTCTGACATTTTTAGCCTGCAACTAAAATGTGAAGGAGATGTCTGATATTTGTCCATACAGCCAGTCCTATGCCCCAGGCCTACTGATGAAGTTGGGGAACAGCCAATTCACTTAACCATTACATACCCATGTTCTCATCCCCAATATCTGAGCACATCACCCTCCCCAAAGCACTTTCCCATCCATGGTCTCATTTATGTTCCATCTGTGACCTATGGCAAAACAGGGGTTATATGTCCATTTTGTGGACAAGAAATTGGAATTCAGGGAACCATAATACGAGTGTTGAGGATGAACACAAAATCTGTTTCCTCATTTCAGCCCAAGCATTCTTACCACTGAACCACACTGTCCTAATGAGGTGGTGTCATTAACTGATTTTTTTTTAAAGATTACTCAGGTTATTAGATGGACCCATGGACAAATCTAGTCTAACATTTTCCTTTTGTAGTTGGGGAAACTAAGGCCCAGAGAAGAAAATGGGCAAACCCTAGCTACTCAGAGGCACGGCTAGGACTTATGACTTGAAAGTTCTCTGTTAATAACTATGTTAATTGACATATTTCTATTTCTTGTCCAGAGCACACTGTTAGGCATCTAGAAACAAGGCAATGTGTATTCTACAAGCTCTGTTCACTCACCAGGCCTACTGTGCTGGAGACAATAGGTTACAGTTCATGTGCTAACTCTGATTAAACATCAGTGTTTGTCTAGAGTTCAATGTTGAGAAGTGATTCTGAGGGCACATCTGGGCACAGTGTAAAAGAATTCCTTGACTGGTATCTGTCACATATATAGGAAGGAAAACTGGTCTCAAGCCAGCCATATATTGGGCATTCTTATCCTAAAGTAAAACCCAAAGAAAGGGCATAATTATTAGTAGTAATTACACCACTTATGGAACACCTACTATGTGCCCGACACTGGGTCATACATTTTACATTTGTTGTCATATAATCTCCATGGCAACACTTTGCAGTGGCTTCTATCATCACCATTGTCAGGAGAGGAAGACTGAGGCTCAGAATGTTATGTTACTTGCCCAAGATCCCCCAGCTAGTAAGATCTAAAGCCTAAAACAAGGGAGGCAGCTGGTTGCAGTGAAAAGGCAAGGGTGTGCAATCAGGAGACCTGGGTTTTACTCCTGGCTCTGCCACTAAGAAGCTACATGACATTGGAGAGTTCACTGCCACACTGTGGGACTCAGTTTCTTTACCTGTAGGAAGAGAGCACTGACAAGATGCGCCCCCATGAGCCCCTCCATCTCCGTGACTTTGACCCTGAGAATTTTCCCACTAGAACTTTGGTGGGTAGGGAGACAAGATCATCCACCACCCCCATAAGGCAGAAGGAAGGAATATGGTGAGACAAGGATTCTTCTATCCCAGTCTCTGAAAAAAGTCTAGCTTCTAGTCCCCATGGCAGCCCAGAGCTTCTTGGCAGCCCCAACCCAGAGTCACTTAATCCTCCATCGACAGTTTAATTAAGATGTATGAAGCGCTGTGAGAGCTGCAGATGATAGGAGAGATCCAAGAACAAATACCCCAAGTATGCTTCCAATCTTCCCTGCACTCATGCTGCCTTCACATCCCTGGAGATGAGATTTTCCTGATAGCCTGCTCTGAGCGGCTGTGAGCACAGCCCTGGCGTTTAGGGCACTAGGGTGAGGCTGAGAGCAGACATATTAATTTTCTGCATACTGTTGCCCAGAAGGCTCTTCAGCTCTGCCTATCAGCTGCCCCTTTCCCTGCCGTGGCCATCCTGTCAAGTCAAATTGCATCTTGCCATTGCCTTGCTGTGTGTTTTGTTAGGTTTCTGCCTGGAAGATCATCTGCAAATCTAGTCACAGCTGAATTTATACATTTCTCTGTTTCCTGTGAGAGAAAATGACTCTCTCTCAGAGAATAGATGCTCTGATTGGTTCTGGGTATTTCCTCCCCTAACTTTGAAATTCTCCCTCCCTTTTCTCCTTTCTTTCTTCTTCTTCCTCACATGGACATTGTTGCTTGAATGATGTATCTTCATGTAAAGAATCAGGTGTTTCAAGCCCACAAGGGACTCAAAGGTCCCCATGCCCCAACTCCTCATGGAACAGATGGGGAAAGACTAGAACCCAGGCTCCTCACCCCCAGTCCAGTGGCCTTTCCAGATGGTCAACCATACTGTAAAACACATCATCTCATTGATCTAATTATAGAATCCACCAAATGCCTCCCTGAAATTCTCAGTAACTATTTCCATTAACTTTCCCTTGAGAGCAGAATTTTTCTAGGCCCAAATATCTCGATAGATCAGTTGGTTCAAACAACAACGTCTATCAATATTTTGCCGACACTTGATGTTGGTATCAAGGAAATAAACCTGATATTTGTATGCAAAGAAAAATGATGCATTGTGTGTATGGTCATTTTATACTAAATGAATCTTAATCTGCGTATTAACCACTAGATTACATGAGTTGCTTGACTCTAGTGCTGCCTTAAAAAAAAAATAGCCCTTATATGTGTTTAACACTTGTCCATTTACAAAGCCAGACTCTAATACCCCTAAAATACGCCTACCCTTTGGGGAAAGGATGCTCTTTAGAAAGAGCATGTTAGATGAGAGGGATGACTTGTGGTCCTGGGTTGTGGGCCTTGACTAAGGAACTACTGTGTGCAAGGGTAATCTCTGTGAAGGACTCACAAAAGGGAAGATGCCCCCCCCCTTCAAATAGTATCCACATACTTGAGACCTATACACAGCAAGGGTATCTCCCGATCTCGGCAGTCTAGCCTGACAGTCCAGTGAGTACCTGCACAGTGTGTCCTAGAGGAATACAAGCCCTCACAAGTGAGAGCCACAGAGGCCACAGAGATCAGAATCACCTGGGGAACTTCTGAAAAAGATTTTTTTCTAGGCTCCACCCCAGATTGCTGAGTCAGAATCTCTAGGTTTAGAGGAGGGGCATCTTAATATTTATAATTTCTGCACATGACTCTGGTGCCCACTAGAGCTTGTGAACTATCGTCCTTGAAACTGAAGTGGTCTCAGAATACATAGGATTTGTTCTGGTCTGTGGAATGACTAGTAGGATGTGGCTGGAGGGAACAAGTGTATCCAGTGAAGGATACAGCCTAGGCAAAGTTCCAAAGAAAGGAAGGTTCAAAATGAGTTCAGGAGGAAGGGAGGAAAACAGTTTGGCTAGATTTAGAGGCTTTTGAAATGTAAACAGGCTACAATATTAGGCCTCAAGTTATTAGCTCTATCAGACAACAGTTTACATTCTGAGGTCTGTCTTGTAATATGACTCATGATCCAGAAATTCCTCAGTGTTGTCCTCCAATAATGAAATCAGATTCCACTGATATTCAGCTCTCCACTTCTGGGCAGTATAAACATGGCCTTCTTGAACAATAGATAGGTTCTATAATGTCTTTAGAAGCTAGACAGGGTCCCATTTCTTCACTCTCCCCATATAGAAGGGGAATATAATTCAGCAGTAATTAAAAGATTCTGAGCTATTCTGTTCATTCTGTATTTGTAAGATATTTGTACTTTGGAACCTACTGGTACTAATTAGAGCCTCTTATTTTGCAATCACTCATAATTTGTTTCTTCCTGAGCTAATCTCGCTCATGAATGTGTGATCAAGCGACACTCAGCTCTTCATTAGTGTGTGTGCCGACCTCAATTCCAAGCACAGCCAGCACTTAATTCCAGCTTTGTTCCTGTCCCCTTCCAGAGGTCTAAAATTGCTGTGTTTGAGAAGATGTGGACATACATGAAGTCAGCGGAGCCATCAGTTTTTGTGAGGACCACGGAGGAGGGAATGATCCGAGTGAGGAAATCCAAAGGCAAATATGCCTACCTTCTGGAATCCACCATGAATGAGTACATTGAGCAGCGGAAACCCTGTGACACCATGAAGGTGGGAGGTAACTTGGATTCCAAAGGCTATGGCATTGCGACGCCCAAGGGGTCCGCCCTGAGGTAAGTAGCCAAGATTTGCTTCCTTGGTACTCCCTCTCCCCTCCCTACCTCAGGAATGAAGCTGCTGTGTCTGCCACATGGCTCCAGTGCCACAGTGTGAGCTATCAAGGGGGCTCTTCTTGGACAACTGTGGGCCTGGAAGATTCCAGTCACCCAAGATCTTCAACCCTGAGGTTGGAAATTGACCTGGGGGCCTCAGCTTGCTATGACTGTTGCTGCCCATGTGTTCCTCCCCACACCTCGCCTTACCCCTCCAAGTGTGTTAAACATCAATGAAACTTGTGTTCATGTCATGTGATCTGTAACACACCATCCTTTACCAAACACTCCCATATACAACGAGGCTATGAACAGAGTTCTCCAGCAACCTGGATTCTTTGAGAGAAGGTGGTTTGTAATGTTTGTCTCAAAAGAAACATAAACACATTGTCCAAATGAAAACTCAAGGAGTTTGAGTCCTAAAGGCTCTGGCTATGGCAATCAAAATAATACCAAATGAATGGCATCCCCTCTTCTTTACCAGATACTGATTTCTTTTTTTTAAAAGATTTTATTTATTTATTTATTTATTTATTTATTTGAGAGAGAGAGAACATGCATGCACAGTGGGGGAAGGGCAGAGGGAGAGAGAGAATCTCAAGCAGACTCTGCCCTGAGCATGGAGCCTGACGTGAGGCTCAATCTCATGACCCTGAGATAATGACCTGAGCTGAAACCAAGAGTTAGATGCTTGGACCAACTAATGGACTGAGCCACCCAGGTGCCCCCCAGATACTGATTTCTTTAGCAAGAAACAGGTAGTTCAGTAAAGAAGCAAAGTGGACTTTACTCTCACATAAAGAAGCTCTGGTATTCATTCCAAACAGCTAAGGTAGAGTCCTATAGACTTGGGGTCAAAAGATGTAGATTTAATTCTTGGATTTACTACTCACTGTCTTACCAAAGGTAAGGCATATCATCTCCCAAACCTTCAGTTTCCTCATCTGTAAAGAGAGGTTACTCATCCCAGCCCTTCCTAGGTCCACGATAATTGTGAGTCCAAATGGGATAATCTATATAGAAGGTAACTGAAAACAGCACAGTATGAAGTAACCATGAGACGTTATGTCAATTTACAGAGGGATTAAATCATTTTAGGGAAGGATAGTGTTCAAGGAAAAGTGAGAAGTGTTTAAAAAGGTTGCAAAAGGATGGAGAGGGGTTCCTAACCCATTTTGACATCGAGGACCACCTCTGCCTCCACATCTTGCATTAATTTCAGTAATATTGACCCCTGCAAGGTTCTAGGCACTAGGCTCGGACGTGGAGCTACAATTTTGAACAAAACAGATATAGTCTCTCTCCCTATGGAACTATATTCTTGCAGGGAAGACCGTCAACAGGTGATTATTGTTTGATGGTTCATGACAACTATGACAGTTTCTGTGATCATTGACAAAAGGCGACCTAGAGGACACCTACTTCCAGCAATACAGCAGAACAAAACTCCCACTACAAAACCTACATATGCAGGATAAAGTTATAACAAATAGCCTTTTTAATGGAAGTTAGGAAATCCCTAGGCCAAAACAGGAAAAGTACATCAAAACCAGAGTGAAATGCATAAGCTGACTATTCAGGGGCTGCCTTAAGCAGGGCAAAGTCATGAATAATGTGACAATCTACATGAATAAGAATCAGAAGTACATCTAAAGACATAAAAGTAATGAAAAACATTTTTAAAAGAAAAAGACACTATCATAAGGGACCAGACATATTTAGAAAAATACCAATTAGAATTTAGAGAAGTAATAAAATCTCAATGGAAGGGTTAAACAACAAATTAGTCAAAGTGGAAGAGAAAATTATTACACTGGGGAAAACAATGGAGATAATTCCCCAGAATATCACACAGAAAGATAAAAAGATAAAAACCATGACAAAGAGGTTAAGAGACCTGTAAGAGAAAAACAAAATCCCAGGTACATCTCCTGTGAGACAAGAAAGGAGAGTAGAGGCAGTATTTAAAAGGAACTTTCCAGTATTTATGGAAAATGTTTAAAAAAAAAAAAAGAAAACGTTAATACCCAGATTTAAAAGTTATGTGTCCCAAGCAGATAAAAATCAGCAGCTGATTCACTTGAAACTGCAGAACTATAAAGACAAAGAAGATTTCAAACATACTTAGAGATAACAGGGTCTAATCTGGTATGCAGGATGGGTGGGACATGGCCAAGAAGGCTTTTCCAAGAATGTCTTTTCTCAAGCTGAACTATGACAGATTAATAGGAGTTAATAAGGTAATGTGAGGGGAGTAGAAGAGACAAGCAGTCCAGCAGAAGGAACAGCATGTGCAAAGACTCTAAGGTAAGGAATCATGGTACAGTTGATGAACTAAAAGAAGCCAAGTGCTCCTAGAACATAGGTAATAAAAAGGAGAAAAGGCTAAGCTGAGATTGGAGAATGATATAGGGAAGGATTTTATAAAGAATTTTTGTCCTTATTTGAAGAGTAATGAAAATACACTGGAGAATTTTAAGTAATTTTCTGAAAATGAGGAAACAAAGGTCTCTGGAGGAGTACAAACAACAGATTGTACCTAATGAAGGGAAACCAAATAGCCTCGTATTTATCAATCATGCATTTTTGCCTGGAATAACTTAAAAGAGTCTCTGTACAAGTTTAGACAAAGTTCAAAGGGGATCCAGAGGAGAGTGCTTGGCAAGGAAGAGACTTTTATCTCAGAAACTTAAACAACACTACCCTAGAAAGGCCCAGAGTAGAGAATGAGCTCTTACAGGTCTCAGAACATCAATGATGCTGCAATACTACAATTTACTGAAGGCTTTATGAGTCAAGGATATTATTTGATCTAAATACTTGTATATAAAGTTAGGAAAACAAGGCACAGAGAGGTGACATGATTTGTCTAATCAATAGAGTACTTCTGCCACCACATCCCACATATTGGTGCCTAGAATGAGGTGACAAACTCAGAAAATATTAGATGTTTGAGTGACATGAACCTAAAGCTCAGGTCATCTGGCACTCAAATGGCTTTCCACTATAGTAAAATCTACCATTGAGTGAATGCCTATTCCATGGTACACAGTATGGTACATGCATTATCTTGTTTAAATTTCATACCTATGAAGTACCATTATCCCCACTTTACAGATGGGGCAACAGAGGCACAGATTTAAGTTACCTGACCAGGTTGACACAACTAATAAGAAAGTAGCCAGATTTCAAGCTCAGATAGTCTGATTCCAGAGCCCATGCCTGTGACTTACTCTAATGCTTCACTGGGCTTTAGGACTGACAGCACCATTAAAGGCAGGAGACTGGACTTATGTCAGGTTCCCGGTACCTATTTTCATGGGTCAAGCAATAGCCAACAACTGAAAAAAGCTAAAAAACAGACATTTGGAGCCCAGAGCATCCACTCATTACTGTGAAGATGCAAGGTGATAGTGATAGTCATTTTAATGCACCAAATACCACTTCTCTGAGCAGTAACACTGCTTTAATGGATTTTGCATGCCCGAAGATTCTTTGGGGATAAATGTTGAAAATAATTTAACTCTGTAACAAAGAAAACCCTATTTCTTGTTTACATCCTATAAGATATAACAAGCTATTTACTGATTTTGAGAAAGCAAAAGAAAGGGAAAGGGAAATGAAAAGGAACATATTCCAGATATAGATCACTGATGGTGGATATGCAAGTCAAGAATACCCAACTGATGGCCCCATGTGCCCAGCTCTCTCCCAGTGCTCCATTCTCTCCAGCGACAACTTTTATGATAGTCATGGGGTCTCCTGACTCAAAACCAGAAGAGTAATGTTCATCCTAACAGGGCCATGAGTTTCTGACCTAGGAAAATCCCTTTTCCCTCTATGGGATTCTCCCATTCATGTCTGCATTAAAACAAATCATCCTAGCAACCAATAGTGTAGAATTTCCATGAAACACAGAACTGCAAAATGGTTACAGAAAATATGAGCACACACGCGCGCATGTGCTCACACACACACTCCAGCCAGGGTTCCATCTTATCTTGGCCTCACATGCCCCAAAGGGTACCATTTCCCCAAGGCATGGTCAAATACCAAAAAGTCATGGCAACCCAAATGTCACACAGACCTGTGTGCCTGCTCCAAAAGTCTTCAATCCACTGATTTGATCCCAGGAATGCATTCTGCATGACAGAGGTTGGAAGTAAGGAACCAGTAAGACGTGGTAGCTATTTACTGCTTCCTCTGGTCCCCATTTAAAAGGAGCTTATTATGTGCTCAAGATAATATTGCAGCAGAAATCAATTTTAATTCAGATTATTTAGAAGTACAGCAAAAACTTTTTAAGACACTGTTCAGCCATTCACAAAGCTGCGAGCTCTGCAAAAGTCTTTAGAGAAAGCTGCTTCAGCACACTACAGGCATCGTCACAGACTTCCCTTCTGCCTTGTAAAAGTGGAGCTTCCACAACCCTGAGGCAGGTGTGCTCCAGGTTCAGTGCCTGTGCCTACATCAAACAGGAGTTCCCTGGTAGCCCTTCTCCATCACTTGCTCTCCATAAAAGCCAGACCTCACCATACCTACAGGGCATTCAGCCCCTTCTAGCCCGCCTGGAAAAAGCTCCAAGTTCCTCCAAGGCAGATCACCCAGCTCTGCCTCAGAAGGTCGGAGAACTGATATCTAAGGTCCAACTGTTCCTCTAAAACTTGCCAAGTGTACTTGGCAGAAGCCAGGCCATGGTCCCCACAGAGTGTTAAAAGGCTGTGTTAGTGACAGAATGGTGTTTTTGTCTCTTCTGCTCTGGAAACAAATACTCTGATGAAGCGAAGTAGTTCGATGCTTGATTTTCCATTTGGACAGGTGGTGTTTCTTTGAAACAGATGCTGTTTGTTGGCTGTCACTGCATGTTTGGGGCTGGATAAGGGGCTGAATTATGTTTCCAAAGCCCTTAGGTTATGGATAAAGACCTTCTCAGCCAATGCCAGTCACTAGGGAAAGGCAAT